TATATATATATATATATTCCAAATCCATTGTCACATAAAAAAACACACAACCCACACCCAAAAAGGAAACGAACCAGATAGAAAAAGAGAGAGAAAAGAGGAAAAAGAGAAAGCGGAGAAAAAAAGAAGAAGAAGAAAGAAAAAAAAAAGAAAATTTTCGCCAACATTTTAAAAATAAGTTCTTCTACTATTGGGTTTGAATTCTTCAAAGTTAAAGGTAAATAAAAAGTTACTTATTGAAAGGTCATGTTTAATTTTATATTTGTTAGATTGTTAGATTAAATTCAATTTTATTGAAACTGTTAAATATAATAAGCTATGAAATTGAGTTACATGAAAGAAAAATTAGTTTTAGTGATTAAAGAAACCATAGAAATCGCCTAAATGTGAAATAATTAAGTTTGGGTATCGTCTATTTAATTATTGAAATTACTTAAAATAGTTAATTGTTGATTTAAAAATTATATCACATTTTAGGCAGCTATACGAATATTGGGACAGCTTACCAATCGAGTTGATATTGGTGTACATAGTTCTATGAGTGGAAAATTATAAATATTTTTAAAGTATTTATAAATTAAGTATCTTATTAAAGTATGTGCAATTATGTATTCGATTATATGATTATTATGGAAATCTATTATATTATGATACATTTGGAATATCAAAAATTATTTATGGCACATTTGTGACTTGGTACGTAAAACATGTGATATTGAGATTCAATTGAAATATGAGACGTGATATTGAGATCGACTAGAAAAGTACCCGTGATTATATACTTCTTCTACTTCACAAAGGGGCCTTGGTCATATTCGATCCTACAAGGAGTGGTCTTGACTGGATATTAGTCTTGATCGTATACATATAGTTAATAGAGGGGCCTTGACCGTGTTCTAGAATTGATTATGAGAGGTCTTTGAGATCGAATTTCCCGTGGCGAAAGTTTTTAGCCCGAGAGACAAATTATAGATTTGAGTCAGAAGGTACATTTTTGGTGGATTTTTCAGTATATTTGATATAATGAGATTATAGTATGGTTATCAGTTAATGTTTATAGCTTGACTTTGAGATGACATTTGTGATGTATGTGAATGTCTCACGTTTTGGATATAATTATATGATGTTATCTTGCGAGTAATTCAATGATATGAACTCGATTTTGATAACAGTGTAAAATTGAAAAAGTATAAATTTTTTTGAACTTCTCTACTCACTGAGCTATCAACTCATTTATTTTCCCGTAATTTTTTCTACGGGTAGTAATTGATTCTCTTTAGCCTGAAGAGCCGAGTGATTTTGGAACGAGAGCCACACGACATATTGAGTGTTATAAGTTATATTGGTGAAGCACAAAGTAAATAATTTGGGCCCATCGCATTTGCTATAACTCATATTGGTGAAGTACAAAGTAAATAATTTGGGTCCATCGCATTATATTTTACATAAGTATTTGATTTTGATGCATTTTTTCAAGTAACTCATAATCAGCCTTGGTGATAGATTTGATATCTAGTCAGCATCTATTATCAGCGCACGTCACGTTTCGGGTCCACTATGGTGATTCGAGATGGGTCGTGTCACATGTTGGTAGTTGCAAAACTACATCCTGAAAAACAAAGTAAAATTACTTGGAATGAAACAACTCTATCTCACTTTGATCCCCCGCAGCAATCAATGTGAGCAAGAGGTTGAAAAAATCATTTATTTGTAAAGAGTTACAAATCAATTACCTAATGTATTTGTTAACACAAGAAAAGTGCCACAGTCGGTTAAAGACTGTCAAAATAGAAATAATTGGCCAAAATGAAAAGAAACCATACAAGCAGAATTGAAAGTTTGGAGATTCAAATGTTGAAATTATACGTATCAAATTTGAATTTGGAGATTATTTTTATGGAATTCGAAAGTTGATTAATACATTGGTCTATAGCCGTCATGGCAAGTACCGTGCACTTTTCGACATACTTTTATTAGTACTTTTCATAATTGAATGATTATAAATTTTCTCGAAGTTGTGAAATATCTGAATTATTTGATCCACCGAAATAAATATGAAATTCAAAAATAATTTATTTAAATCTTTCAAGGTAAGTGCTTATAAATTTAAATGCCGCCACAACTTTGGAGAAATTTATAAATAATATGCAAGCTATAGTTTTACATGATAATATATTTAATAAGTTGTTAATTAAATTCATTTTAAATTAGAAAAGTTATTGTAGTTACTTAAAGATAATTAGATTCAGATATTGTAATCAAATCAAATATGTTTATGTTTGATTTTGATTATTTGATCATATTCGGTAGAAGTTGGTACAGGATCCGAGCTGTTAATGGCTCTAGTTACTTTACCCATGAATAAAGAGCCTCAACGTGCTATTTTTCAAAGTCGTGTGTTTGCTATAAAATTAATATAATTATTTAAGAACTGAAAATTTAATATTTAATAGGAGGTCAAAATATCAAGCCTATTATAAGTTGTTTAATATCATAAATAATCTCTATTTTTGTTATATTCATCCTTTATCAATTCAACGATCAAAAGCAGGCCAGCATCATTTGACTAGTAGAACAGGAAAAGTATAAGTGAATGGCCTTTCTTCCGTAAATAGCATGCAATTGACAAAAAAACACTTCTTGTTTCATTCTCTCTCTCATCTTCTGCAGCTATGATCCCGAAGAATACTTGTTGGTTTATTCTCTCTGTGTTGTTTTTCCTATGTTTCTCTATAAACATCCATCATTCTCAAGGAGCTGACAGCGTTACAGCAAATCAGCCTCTCTCTGGAAGCCAGACAATTGTCTCATCTGGTAACATCTTTGAACTAGGATTCTTCACACGAGGTACTTCTTCCAGTTATTATATTGGAATTTGGTACAAAAATGTTACTCCAATGACCATAGTTTGGGTAGGAAATAGGGAGACACCCATTTCAGACATGAATTCTGTAGAATTTAAGATTTTAGATGGGAATTTGATGCTTATGGACGAGTCCCAGATTTCAATTTGGTCCACAAATGTAAATTTGACAACCTCAAATTCTTTAGTGGCAACTCTAGGTGATAATGGAAATTTAGTTTTGAGAGATGAGTCAGAACCTAGGACAAGTGAAGGATTTTGGCAAAGTTTTGATAATTTTAACAGATACGTTGTTGCCTGGTAGCAGCCTTGCCTATGATAAACGTACAAGAACAAAGAAAGTTCTCACTTCTTGGAAAAACTCTGAGGATCCTGCACCAGGGCTTTTCTCTTTTGAATTAGATCCAAATGGGAGTCAGGTTATTATAAGATGGAATAGGGCTGAATGGTACTGGACTAGTGGAGCATGGAATGGGCTCTTTTTCAGTTTAATCCCTGAGATGAGGCTGAACAATATGTATAATCATAGTTATGTTGACAACGTTAATGAGAGTTACTACACATATTCTTTTTATAATCTTTCCATTAGATCTCGATACGTGATGGATGTTTCCGAGCAAATTAAGCTGACATCATGGAATACGAAGGAGTGGGATTTTTATTGGTTTCAACCTAGGCAGCAATGTGATGTGTATGCTTATTGTGGGGCATTTGGTAGCTGCAATCAGAATTCACTAAACTTCTGTAATTGTTTACCCGGATTTAAGCAAGGTCGAAGATTGATTGGAATTTGAAGGATTATTCGGATGGATGTGTGAGAAAGATCCTTTTGAACTGTTCAAATGTGGAGTTCTTGGTCTGCGAAAATGTGTTGTTAGGTGCAGGGAGTGCTGGAGAGTGTGAATCTATCTGCTTGAGTAATTGCTCTTGTACAGCTTACTCTTACAATGACAATGCATGCTTGGCTTGGAATCGGGAACTAATGGATTTACGTACAACAACCAGCAGAAACTGATGGCAATAAAAAAATGATCTACATTAGACTTTCTGCTTATGCATCCGAGTTTTCAAGCAACAAAAAAGGTAAAGGGCGTCTAATAGGGGCTGTTGTGGGTTCTGTTGCTGCTGTTATGGTTCTATTGGCCATTGTCATGATATACATACGTTGCAGGCATATATCTAGAACTACCAAAGAAGTTGAGGGATCATTGGTAGCATTTCGGTACAAGGATGACTTGCAAATTGCAACTAAAAATTCCTCAGCTAAGTTAGGGGGAGATAATGAGAGTGGTATTGTTGTTCCTTTCTGCAGTTGGGAAAGTATAATAGCTGCTACCGAGAACTTCTCAGATGTAAATAAACTTGGACGCGGGGGATTTGGTCCTGTTTACAAGGTTTAACTATTGTTTTATCTGTAATTGTTTGCTGGAACAAAAATGTGCTTCCATATATATCTTGATTCTAGTTCACAACTCTTGCAGGGAATGTTTCATGGAGGGCAAGAAATTGCAGTGAAACGGTTGTCGAGCTGTTCTTCACAAGGCACTAATGAATTTCAAAATGAAATTGTATTGATTGCAAAGCTTCAACACCGAAACCTCGTTCGCCTTTTGGGCTACTGCATGAAGGAGAATGAAAAGATCTTACTCTATGAATACATGCCAAAGAAAAGTTTGGATGCCTTTATATTTGGTTAGTTCATGGAAAATGATGTATTCTATATTGCTATTTTCATATAATTTCAATCAATAATATTTTTTTCACATATGCTAGATAAAAAGCTATGCATGTTATTGGACGGGAAGAAGCGGTTTGACATCATCTTGGGGATAGCAAGAGGGGTTCTTTATCTTCATCAAGATTCAAGGTTGAGGATCATTCATAGAGATTTGAAAACAAGCAACATTCTGTTAGACGAAGAGATGAACCCCAAAATTTCAGACTTCGGTTTGGCAAGAATTGTTGAGGGAAAAGGAATAGAAGCAAGCACCAACAAAGTCATAGGAAACTAGTAAGTGGCAATTAAAAGATCTTATCCGTACGAACTCCACTTTTTGGTCATTCAGTTCTTGGCTCCTGTGTGTCGAGTGCAATAATATAAAAAGATGAATTTCTATTATGTTATCTGTATATACACCTAATATACCCAAGATCATATTGTATCATATATCTATGTACATACTAACTTGTAGTATCTTGGTCCAGTGGTTGTATGTCTCCGGAGTATGCATCAGATGGACTATTCTCAATAAAATCATATGTATTTAGTTTTGGACTTGTTGTTCTCGAAATAGTCACTGGAAAGAGAAACACGGGATTTTACCAATCTACACAAGACTCGAATCTCTTGGGTTATGTAAGTAGCTAAATTCCTGCATTTATATGCAACATTTTAGCCAATTAACAGTCTAAAATATTTTTAAACTATTTTGCTCAGGTATGGACATTGTGGAGTGAAAACAAGGCATTGGATATAGTCGACCAAATACTGCTTGAATCTTGTAAGAAATCTAAAGTTATCAAGTGCATAAATGTTGGGCTGTTGTGTGTCGAAGAAGACCCCAGTAATCGCCCTACCATGTTGAATGTAGTTTTCATGCTTAGTGGAGAAATCGTAGTTCTTCCAATTCCAAATCAACCAGTTTTTGTAATGAGAAAACGCTCATCCTCTAATCAATCGGGTTTGTTCTCCAACAATGGGTTGATGGTATCTATTCCACAAGGGCGTTAATGAACTTTTTCTTATTTCCTTCCACTCATTATATGCTCAAGAAGAATCTCCACGAACTTGTTTTATTAGCAAAAAGTCCAAATATGCAAGTTTCCTCTCATATCTAGTTGTTTGTGTTAGAATTTTGGGGTGACCCGAATTCTTTTGTTGAAATGATTGTAGAATTTTAATTGAAGTGCATATCAAAAGAAATTTTAGTTGGAATGTTTTGAGGAATCCTATTCAAGTTTAATTGTTAAATTCTATTTAAATATCTATTTTGAAGCCCATTGGGAGTTGGAATTTGAGTTGGACTTGAAGAGTTCAAATAAGGAAACTTTTAGGCATTTTAATTCAGCTACAACTCTACTTCTAGGGATAGATTTTTCCTATAAATATGAGGCTTCTCTGTCAGTTTTCTGAGAAGCAATTTTGCTAAGTTGTACTTGTTTTGTTCATATTGTTCAGTAATAAATAACATTCCTCTACGATTAACCCTTTTTGTTCTTCTTTATTTTAAATCTTATTATTCGTGATGTGATCTTGTTTATTTCATAATATTGTCATTGAATCTCATTCTTTACGTACAATTCGGTTTGGATCAACAAGTGGTATCGGAGCTTCCGTGCCCAATAGTTTGTACAATTTTTCCTTCTATTAACGAAGGAATTGTTGTGCCGAAGGGTTGAATAGACATATAATAATTAGTAAACGATGTCTTAAATGTTGAGTAATGACAATTTTTTTCTTCTATGCATTATACCGGTGAGAAAAAAAAAAGAAAAGGAAGGAAAAGAAGAAAAAAGTGGTCTTCTTTTTGCTCCACCACGCTAATTGTTGACTTTATATACGCATCCAAACAACAAAGTGATGGTTCTCTCACTCTCATCTCCTCCATTCCCTTCAGATCAGTGGCTAGCCACACATAGAAAACAAAGATCTGTCTTTTCTCCTACTATCTGGTGATAATGGGTCACAAAGGAGATGGGGGTGAGCAGTGGTCGAAATCTCACCAGCTTTAATATCAGAAAATTTCAAAATTTTTGAGTTCAATTAAGGTTCTCAATGTGCATTTAGCACATTGGATATCACTGTATTGAGAAATTCACAATCAATAATACTAGAAAATATTACCGTGGATTGAGGTAATCGTAGTCTTGTTACAATTCTAACAATAAACTTAGATATATATATATATATATATATGCAGTGAACCCATGTAGCAATAATAGTTCCGAAACTCACAAATGATTGAATCACAACCTTAAGAAAGCTAAAATTTCGGTTTGAAACTTGATCCAATAATTTATTGAATCAAAGAACCAAGACAATCGCAAACAATATCTTAACCTTGTGATCACGAAAATTATGAACCTTGCTATGAATTTTTTGAACGCCACAAAAAAGTATGAATTTTTGATAAGTTTGGATAGTTTGAACGTGTAGGATCGAATTCCACAGCCAACACGTGCAAAACCGGGCTCAGTTTACCACAACATCGACACCAAAAACTTGAGACAACTCCAACACCACCCTATGCCGCCACCGGTCCGGTTGCTATCAATTGGGAAGGAAAAGACCAAGAATATTCCCACAGTATGTTAACCACAAAGGTCATAGTGAAAGGGAAAGGGAGAGGCCGAGAGAGAGAGACTCACAAAGAGGGGAAAATTTCACTCTAATGGAGGCCGAGAAAGTGAAGGGATTATATGCCAAGTATATTGTCCAAAATAGGTAAGTTACAATTAAGGTTAAGTGGTGGATCAACAAACAAGGCTCGACTCAAATAATTGGGCCTCAACAATAATAATATAGCCTTCCAAGGAATGGTGCGGGAACCGTGAGCAACACTATAAAATAGGTTACTTCGAACGGTCCATAACAACGTGGATTACCTTGTCTCGTTAATTGTGTCGATGTACTAATCAATCATTAGGTCGAGGCCGATTGATAATAAACAACCAAGGTTACATCATCGCCCGGGAAGGTCGTTTGACAACAAAATTGTCTAACAACCTCCACCTTGGTGTCAAAGGACCTGCAAAGAAAATTGTCTCCCATTAGTGACACCTCTAATAGAAAAACAATAAAATTGGAAATCATTTACCTGTACCAATGTTTAGAAGTTCCTTGCAACTCCTAAACTTTGCCTGTGGCAGTACCTTCATCCCCATATCAGATGGGTTGTAGTGTGTATGAACTTTCTCAAGTCTTACCACCTCTTGAGATACTATATCTCTAATAAAGTGGAGTCTAACATCAATGTGTTTAGTGCGCTCGTGAAAAATAGGATTTTTGCATAAATGTATGGATGATTGACTATCAGAATACACTACCACATAATCATTCAAAACACATAGTTCATGAAGTAGACCTCTAAGCCATTGAGCTTCTTTAATAGCTTCAGTGGTGGCAATATATTCTGATTCTATAGTGGATAGTGCAAAAATATGTTGTAACTGTGATTTCCAACTTACACATGAATTAGATGAGGTAAACACGCAGGATGAAGTAGATTTCCTACCATCCCTATCACCCGCATAGTCAGCATCTACAAAACCTTTTAATTTTATGCCTTCTCTATTAGCACTAAACTTTAAGCCTACGTTACTAGTACCCTTCAAGTACTTTAACAGCCACTTTAGCGCTTCCCAATGTTCAGGTCCCGGATTAGCCATATATCTACTGAGAGTACTAATAGCAAAACCTAAATCAGGTCTAGTGCAAACCATCAAATACATTATGAAACCAATCACATTTGAGTAAGATACTCTACTCATGTATTCAACTTCACGCTCATTGCAAGCAGATTGTTCCTTAGATAAAAAAAAATGATTAGCAAGGGGCAACGTGACAGGTTTGCATTCACTCATATTGAACTTCTTCAATACTTTGGATATATATGGAGACTGATGCAAAAACAAAACAGAATTTGACCTATCTCTTTCGATTTCAATACTTAAGATTCTCTTAGCCTTACCTAGGTCTTTCATGTCAAATTCACCACTTAGTTTTGTTTTTATGTTATTTATCCACTTAGAGGATGATCCAATCAAAAGCATGTCATCCACATAGAGCAACAAAAACAGATAATTATCATCAGTCTCATTGTGTTGAAAGTACAGGCAGTGATCAAATTTACTTCTTTGAAACCCTATAGTGAGTACAAAGGAATCAAACCTCTTGTACCACTGTCTAGGAGTTTGTTTTAGCCCATACAAGGATCTTCTCAGAAAACACACATAATCAGGTTTTGACTTATCCTTAAAGCCTTTAGGTTGATTCATGAAAATTTGTTCATCAAGTTCACCATGTAAGAAAGCAATTTTTACGTCAAGTTGTTCAAGTTCTCAGTCAAATTGTGCCACTAATGCGAGCATGATCCTAATAGTGGTGAACTTAACAACTGGTGAGAAAATTTCATTATAGTCAACGCCCTCCTTCTGTGTGTAGCCTTTAGCCACTAACCTAGTTTTAAACCTTAGGGGTTCCAAACTACTAGTTCCTTCCTTAACCCTAAAAAAACCCATTTGCAATCAACAATTGATTTATTCTTAGGTCTAGGTACTAGCTCCCAAGTATGATTCTTTTCCAGAGAACTCATCTCTTCTTTCATTGCCTTAAGCCATTCATTAGATTGATCACTGCCTATTGCTTCTTCAAAAGTCTTTGGCTCTTTATCAGCTAGTTCTTCATAACTAGCCTGGGCAAAAGCTAATTCAGATTCAAAACCAAACCTTCTAGGTTCCCTCGATTGTCTGCTCTCTCTATCTGTAACTAAGTTATAGTTAGCTAAGGGATTCTCTTTCTCATAGTGCTCTTCTGTCACTATTTCGTTACTATTTTCCACTTCGGGTTCCCGAGTTTGAGTCTCCACCTCATTTGAGACAGTAGGGGCAGGTGGACTGATTTTTCCTAACTCCACCTTAAATTGGTCTCTCTCTTCACCTGATTCTACTTCACTCTCAGGTTCATTTTTCCCTTTAATACACGGCATTTTTTTTCGTTAAACGTGACATCTCTACTTATGATGATTTTAACTCCATTTTGGCTTCTATCCCATAATCTATAGCCCTTAACACCTTTGGGGTATCCTAAGAAAACACACTTCCTAGCTCTAGGTTCCAGCTTACCCTCACTTTGATGAGAAAAAGCTGTACAGCCAAAAGTTCTAAGTATCGAGTAATCACTCAGTTTACCCGACCATCTCTCATGTGGAGTATCACCATTCAATGCAGCAGAGGGTGTAAGATTAATCAAATAGCAAGCTGTCATAACAGCCTCACCCCAAAATGACTTGGGAACACCAGAACTGATCATCATGCAACGTACTTTATCAAGTATAGTTCTATTCATCCTTTCCGCTACCCCCATTTTGCTGAGGGGTGTAGGGAACAGTCTTATGTCTAGTTATGCCGCTTTCTTTACACATACTATCAAATTCTTTATTGCAGAATTCTAGGCCATTATCTGTCCTTAAAAATTTGATTTTCTTGCCAGTCTGGTTCTCCACTTGTCTCTTCCAATTATTAAAACTATTGAAGGTCTCAGATTTATCCTTCAAAAGATAGACCCACACTTTCCTAGTGTAGTCATCAATAATAGACAGGAAATACCTATTACCACCTAATGTGGGGTTACTGGCAGGGCCCCAAAGGTCAGATTGCATATATTCGAGCATGCCTTTAGCTCTATTAACACTCGTGAAGAAAGAAGTTTTGTGATGCTTACCAAGCACACAATGATCACAAA